CGCACACTCCCTTCGCACACACACACACTGCCTTCACACACACTGCCCTCACACACACACACACTGCCCTCACACACACACACCCTCACACACACACACACACTGCCCCTCACACACACACACACACTGCCCTCACGCATACTGCCTTCACACACACACACTGCCCTCACACACACACTGCCTTCACACACACACTGCCCTCACACACACACTGCCCTCACACTGCCCTCACGCACACACACTGCCCTCACACACACACACACACACTGCCCTCACGCATACTGCCTTCACACACACACACACTGCCCTCACACACGCACTGCCTTCACGCACACACACACTGCCCTCACACACACACTGCCTTCACGCACACACTGCCTTCACACACACACACACTGCCTTCACACACACTGCCCTCACACACACACACACTGCCCTCACACACACACACACACACACACACAGTGCCCTCACGCACACTGCCTTCACACACACACACACACACACACGCACTGCCCTCACACACACACTGCCCTCACACACACACTGCCTTCGCACAGACTGCCCTCACACACACACACACACACACTGCCTTCACACACATACACACACTGCCTTCACACACACACACTGCCTTCACGCACACACACTGCCTTCACACACACACACACTGCCCTCACGCACACACACACTGAGAAACACACACACTTCCCTCACACACACACTGCCTTTACGCACACACACACTAAGAAACACACACACACTCCTGCACACACATACTGAGAAACACACACACACTCCCGCACACACACAGCAGGCACCCTCCCTCCCCCTGCCAGCGCCGCAGGAAGAGGTGCGTATGTGCACACAAACACAGAGCGGAACCGCCCTAATTCCCACACTGCTAATCTGCAGCCACAACCGTGTGGAGAGCCGCAGCCCGGGCCCGCCCTGCCGCAACACTGCAAGGGCTCAAGGACACGGATGTTCTGATTAAAAAGCGAGCGCTCGCTGTGCAGTATCACCGGAACCGGTTCAGGGCTGGCTACGGGAGGGGGAAGCCTCATCGAATGGGGTCCTGGCGGGATGCCGCCGGGCTCGGTCCTGGGCCTGACGCTTGTCAACATCGCCCCGTCCCCATCGGGCAGTAAATATAAAATCCTGGCTGGTCAAAGGTGCGGCTGGCACAAAGACTGGCGGAGTGGCATTGGTGGGACCAGGGCAGGACGTTGCATCCAATTCTGGCAGCCACCGTTTAAAAAGGATGCTGAAAAATTGCAGAGAGGGCAGAGAAGAGTCACCAAACTGATTTGAGGGCTGGTGAAAAATGCCTTAACGAGAGAGCCCTAACGAGTGCCATCTGCTTAGCTTATCAACGGAGCCTGTGAGGCGGCTTGACGCACCTCCCCGGGGAGAAAAGCCCAGTACCAACGGCTCTGTTGCCTAGCAGAGAAGGGCGGAACAAAAACCGAAGCCAGACAAGTTCCAACGAGGCACAAATGTTGAACAGTGCAGGTCACCAACCATTGGCACAACCTGCCCAGGGACGTGGCGGATTCCCCATCTCTTGGGGTCTTCGCATCCAGCTGGAGGGTGCATCAGCCAAACCCGTTCCTGGGCTCAAGGCAGGGGGAACAGGGGGAATG